ATTATTATTATTATTATGGACTGGTAATTTATCAGCTGTACTTTAATTATCCCGATTATTCATAATAATATACATTTTTTATTGATGATAAATGATGAATACCAAAAATAGAATATTAGAGGAGTTATAATCAGAGGTGGCAAAAGTACACTTTTTTACTCGTTGTAAAGACACTCAAGCACAAATGACACTAATTTGCATAATGAGGCAGAAATATATCAATAAATTTAAAAAGAAAATACAGAAATTAGTAAATTTGGGGGGAATTAAACAATAAAAAAATGAAATGGGAAAGAGAAATAAAAACAAATAGAGGGTTAATAGGATTAATACAAATATCCATTTGTCACATTTTATAAATAAATCGATGCCTACATTTATTTTTTTTATACATTTAATGGCATATTTATTTTTTAAGTCATTTATTTATTTCTTTTTGGCAGTTTCAGGCCTCCATACACTACAAACTATGGCTGCACGATATAATAAAATAATAATATTGCTTTGTTTTACCCTCTAAAGTTTGAAAGGTGCTGTATAAATAATAAAGGTCTAGAAACAAACTGGGGAATAAGATTAGTCTGCAGCACTACACAACTCATTAGGTTATATTGCAACTTCAGTAATTAGTTCAATTAATTGTGCAGCTCTGCAACAAACCACGATCAATAAGAAGAACTGATGGTGATGGAGGTTAACAGATATGGCCCACCATCAGAAGCTGGACATCAGGACTCCTACAGGTCCTGTCCTGGTCCTGGAAGACCGGGTTGTGGTGTAACCATTGAGGCAGCCACAGAAACATGCAGGCAGGCGGATGGTGTGACTCAGAGCTCCAGTGTTCCTCCAACCTCCTTTAGCCCGGCTCTCAAATCCCCTCTGACAGCCGTAGCGTGCGGAGAGGAAAAAGACATATTTCTGCCCAGGGAGGAGGGAGAGGAGATGGTGGTTGGGGTGGAGGTGGAGGTGGGGGGGGGCAGCAGGGGGCAAATGCAAAACAGAGAGGAGGAGGAGGAGGAGGAGGAGTGGGGATATGCTGCAAGCTGTGTAACTGATCGCTGGAAGTGATTTGGCTAAAAACAACACGTCATTATCGGCGCTCGCAGGGGCAAAGCAAACAGCTCGTATTTTAGAGGACGGACGGGCCGGCAGGCAGCGGGGCGCTCCCCGACAGCAGAGCCGGGAGACGTGTGAGATGCTGCGTCGTCCATCAGAGCCCAGTTTATCCATCAAACCCGCTCCGACCCGACGAGGCGGGCCCGGGGCCCGGGGCCCGTCGCCGTGACCCCTCCACCGCCAGACACCAACTCCCAGCAGCTGGTCAGAAGATGGAGCGTGAAATCGGCCCCCACCCTCTGTATCCACATCCCCATAGTAACTGATTTATACGCTGTAGATACAGGCCTTTTATCACCCCCCCCCCTCTCGACCGGGCCAGGTCCTCCAGGTTTGGCCGTCAGCCCCTCGCCCTCGTCACGCCCTCGTCACGCCGTCGTGTTTTGACATCTCTCCGGTTTTTATGGCTCTGGCCGCTCTGCTGTTTACCCCTCCAGCCATGAGTCTGTAACTCACACACTCATTGTGGATGTCCAACACCTGCACCGGGGCAGATGAATATTACATTCACTTTTTATGAGTTTTCTTCATCTAGTGCTGTGACTGAGGCATCAGCCCTGGCCCTGGGGTGGGGGGGTTTCCAGAGAGATGGCTGGTGTCAGAGCTCCACCTGCTGGTAGTGGTTGGTGCTGCACTGTTGGCCACTTAATGTGACACTACAGTGAAAGAAAGCTCAGGCTCAAAGTCTGTGGACAACCGATCAATCCAACCAGTCCTGTTCAGTCACAGTAACATTAGTGAGGTCCAGCACTGGGGATCAGGTCCGGTTGAGGTCAGGACCAGTAATGTTCTTCCACACCAGACTGGGAAACGCTTTGTGCTCGAGGACATCGACAAACTAAAGGCGCGTTAAATTTATTATAGCAGTCTGTCTGTATTTCTACAGGGCTGTGTCTCTATTGACTGGAGCACTGACCTATACAGGGGTGGCATCAAGTATGTGTCTCAGCTTTCCAGTCCAGTCCCAATTGATACAGTTCCACTACTGTTTATGGACCCCAGTATGCAGAAATAAAGTGGGCATGTCTGCAAAGACAGTGTGGACTGGCAGAGGGAAGGATAGCGGGGTGACACTCTTAAACCTTTGACAGCGTTTGCATATTTCTGTAAGACTTCTGTTCTTTTTTAGTGACTGGATGGAGAGTTCTTCTGTTCTTGAAGCTGCTCAGAAACCTCCTTTATGGTCCATGTATCTAGGACAGGCTCATTCTCTCTGTATGTAATTCATTGTTCCCATCTCTCTCTCTTTCTGTCCCGTCAGTGTGTCAGAGCACTTCGTCCCAGCGGATCGACCCGTCAGCGCCTACGGCTTCCGCCCCGACGAACAGTTTTTCTACAACTACAGCACCGCCTCCCGGTAAACCTGGACCCCCTTACTCTCTCACTACTACTACTACTACACACTACAGACATGTCCCTGTTGTTCACTGTGTGCTACTAAAGCTGGGTCTGTTCTTTATTCATCACTGCAGTGATTCATCTCGTAGTCAAACAATGTGAAGTTTTTAGTCAGAATTTCTAGAATCTTTTTCTTGATGTTAAAGCAGCAAATGTAATCGGTCTTATTTGAATAAACTCATTCAGGGACAATTCCTGAAACAAGGAACCTGCGCAGGGAACAAGTGAAGAAATGTGTTGTTTCGAGAATATTAAATCCTTTAGAAACTTTAAACTATTTTGTGTTCAGCGTTAGATTTTAGTTTGATTCAGGTGACTTTGTTCAAACAGTTTAAAGGTGACTTTGCTGAAGTGGTTCGAGAACACATGCTGTGGAACACAGCTTAATATTTTCTGATGATAAACTGTTTTACAGCCGAATGTTTCTTTTTTTAACCAGTCTGCCTAAAAAAAGAAAACAGCAAAATGAATGAGTGAGTTCTGGAAGATAAGTCTGGTGTTATTCTTATTATAGTTTTTGTTCTTGTCTTTAAATCTGTGCAGACCCGAACCAACAGAGTGTAGCTCCTGTCTCAGTACTGTCTGTGGCTCTCAGCTCACCGGTTCCCACTAGTGGCCCAGTAAAACATAACAACTGTGCATTTTGCAATAAAAGCAGCACATTTGGAACAGATGAAGATTCATATCTTATGACCATTTCTCAAAATGGCTGCCAAATAGGTGCTTAGATATTCCTGAATTTTATGACTCTTGATTGTTGCCAAGGTTTGTTCAAGCCGATGTCAGAAGACTACATGTTTTCTCCTCTCTATTTATAAGACTGACAACCAGTACATCTGTAGAACAGCGAGATCTTCAGCTCTCCATCGATGCACATGGGATTTATTTACAGGAGGAAAACTGTAGAATATCACCAGACTTTTCCTTTAACACAAACTATATATTTATAGAATCTGTTGTTACTCATCACAGGTAAAAGAAAAGTAAAGAAAAGTAAAAAGATGGTTTGATTGATGGATTTTGGAGGTCCAAAGAAGTCGTATATATAGTATCCAGTACTTTCTGTTTCTATCCCTTTAATTATCTCGAGACCTCTGAGATTGATCTCAGGTCGCCTGCAGGGGTTCCTACCACAGGTTGAGAACCACTGAGTTATGCATTATGCAACATGTAGTTGCATTCGATTTTTTTTATCACTTTATGTTACGGGTCTGTATTTCCTTAATTATCTCGCTGTAATGTAATTTGGTTCATATTATAGTGAAATTACTGTAGACAGTGTTTAATTGGTACACTTTCAATGTAATTAATGCCATTTAACAAAGAGTCAGTGAACAGCAGGTTAACTTAATTTGCAACGCGTCTACAGGAAAGCATAAACTTCCAGTACTAAATGATCAATGAATAAACATTAAAGGCTCTGCAGGATCTGCACCGGCTCCAGAGAGAACCTTTTGGTCGAGCTACATAGGAAACGAGTGAGGAGAGGGAGCAACGTTAGTTAGAACAAAAGCAGTGAAGCAGAAATAAAAACTGATTGAATCTCAAACACCACAGAATAAGAAACTACAGACGAGGATTGCAGGGTTTGTGCAGATGCAGACGCACACTTGTAGTTGGGTCATAGAGAGATTCTGTCTGTATGAGTCAGTCCTGCATTGGATGTCTTTAAATGGAGCTTTTCTGTCAAGGAAATTAATCTGGAAATCCACAACCGTTTACAAACTGCACACAACTGACTCGACTCAAATATCTGTCACTGTTTTAAAAATAATAAATACCAAATTACACAGTTCCTTCCAGGAAGATAATGAGAACATTATGGACCATAAAGTGAAGAGTGACCCTTTGGTTTCTTTGTACACACACACACACACACACACACTGTCACTGGAAGTTTTGCAGTTGAGGATTAAGATGTCATTTGTCTTTATTTGTGTGAATGTAATTTAAGAAGAAATGTTAACAGCCTTTTATCGTCTTATCTTGAAAAATGTGTTTTAAATATGAACAAATGTTAAAGAATCTGCTGCATCTTTTTTTTTTAAATTCATGATCTTGTCCTTGATGTGCCTGAAGCGCCGCTTGCCTGCTGAAACATGAGATACTCGTTCTGTGGTGCAATATATCAAATAAATGGGAGGAATATTATTGTAGTCAAACTGTATTTAGTATTTAATCCGTCACAGATGTTGGATTACTGGCAGTTTTTTTGATATTTCTCAGTACAGTGTGTCTGTGATTGGTTACACAAACCTTGTGGAGCATAAATAAATAATCAAAGCATCATGCTGTATGTGTTTTATTGGCAAATAAAAGCATTTATTGTTTGTATTGTTTTCCCCAACATTGAAACCAGAGTTCACACAGAAATAGTTAGAGGGCGTGTTTGTTTATAGACTCTTTATTATTAATATTTGCAAACAATGTTTCCATTAACCGACATTCATCTGCTGGACCGTTTATGGTCAAACTGTCCGACTAACCGTGTCTGTATGAGATGTTCTACGCAGGTGAAAGGCACTTGGTGGAGGTGATGCTCCAGCACAGGTGTTCGGACTCGGACCGGTCTTTACGGCAACCGAGGCGTGTTTCTGTCACCATGAGATTTAAGGCACATAGAGGCGATGCGGGGGTACGATAAAGGCACTTTCATAGGCTACTTCAGTTAAAATCCTTCAGTAAGTCCCAAAAAAGTCACATTAATGAGAAATCAATTGATCCTTCCTAAGCCCCGCCCCGTTTAGGTTAGTGTGAATGGATCCAGCTGACCTCTGCATGTGGTCTAATATATTAAAATATCTGTGTTAACCATCTAAAACTCGCTGATTTAAAGACTGAGGAGGGAGTCTCATGTACTAACAGTTCATCATCATCTTCACCGTCCTTCCATTCAACTGTTTATTCAATACGGGGCTGGTTTTATGTGATGATTGACAGAGTAACGTCTCTCCAGACTGTCAAATTAGGCAGTTTGGATAAATCCTCTGTTACTGCGTTGACTATTTCTCGTTTTAAAATGTTTTCAGAAACATATTTTAACTGTTTATCTGCAAGTACTTCAGCCTGTAAGCAGGCCGTCATCCGTTTCCCACCTGTGTCGCTCAACGCTTCTACCAACTGAGAGGTTGCCAGGATACTGAGAGTCGGATGGATATCAATCCAAGTCATTAAGTACAGAGTCGGGAGGTGGTTAGCCTAGCTTAGCATAGAGACTGGAAGCAGAGGGAAACAGCTAGCGTAGCTCTGTCAGTAAGGTCACTAGTTCACGTGTTCCCAAACATTTTTATGTCAAGAACATTAGACCACAGAGCCCCAGATTGAGAGGACTTAAGGAACGCCGTCTGAAGATAAAAAGTCTTTCCATCAAACTAGATCAATTACAATCAGTAAATTGTTCCACTTTCTGCTGCTTCCTGTTTGTTCTCCTGAGAGAAATACTGAGTGTAATACATCTGATGGGTTTATAGAATATGAATTAAATGGATTGAGCATTTTAAAGAAACTGTAAGGTGACAACATGCTGCTTGCATGTTTATATGTCAGTAATAATATTCCACTGATTTGTGCCAGGCTACAGGTTCCCTCTGCTTGCAGTCTTTATGCTAAGCTAGGCTAACCAGATCCTTGCACAACATCCTCTCAGAAAGAAAGAAAATAGATTCTACTGCAGCGTGATCACATTTCCAAGACATTTCTTCACAACCTTAATAAAATAGTTCAAAATCTAGATTTTCTAAAACAATTTGGTGCTGAAATAAAAAATAAAATCCTGTCAGAGTCGCTGAACAAATGAGACCTGATGCTTTTTATACACTGTTAATATGTTGATTTGTGTAAATGATTTGTATAAATAGTTTCCCGTAATTTCATGCATATGTGTGTGAAAAAGTTTGTGGAAGCTTCTGTGAAAGTTTGTTTCCGTTCATATTTTAACTTCAATCTGAGGCAGCGTCCAGAGATCGAAGCTCCGTCAACAGAAACCGTCGATGCTTCATTCCTCTATTGGAATTCCACTCGGGTAACGTTGCACCAGCTCCTCCACCTCGAACACTTCCACCACCAGGTCACGGATCTCCTTGATGGAGTCCAGGGGTTGGACTTCAGGGCTGGACGGGGTTTCCTCTTTGGCGGGCTCAGAAGGGCTCGTAGCCTCCGCCGCCACCTGCGCCGCCACCTGCGCCTCCACGCTCGCACCCGCCTCGATGTCCCGACACACGGCAACGCTCTCAGCTTCCGTCTGCACCTCGGGAGATGGCTCGTCGCTCGCAGTTTGGTTCTCTGCGGGTTCGTCCGAGCTCACGGGGGATTTAACGAGGTTGGCCTCGTCCTCCAGAACGTCAGAGGTCGTCGAGACTTCGTCCTCGCTGTTCCCTGTCACTTTGACTTCCTCTATGGACTCTATGTCCGACGGCGCCGACTCACTTCCTACTGACACATCCAGAGAATTAGGGTCTGAGACAGAAGCTGGTTCTACTTCCTCTGCCTCCAGGTCCAGGCTGACTTCTGGGGGTGTGAGTGCTGGTGTTGGACCACCAGAGGGAGCCGCTAACTTGATTTCTGAGCTCCCACAGTGGGACTCTACTTCACTGCTGGCTACAGTCTGGGACCCAGTACCTTCTGCGGAAGTGTTTACGGGTTCATTTACTGGTTCATTTGAAGACTCAGGACCTGGTACTGGTTCGTTTGGAGACTCAGGAC